TGTATGTATTTATTTGTATATATTTATCTATATTTTTATTTTTATTATTTTATTATTCCATATTATTTTTAATGCAATTATAATTATTTTATTTTTAATACGTGTATATTGTAATTTTATTTTTTATTTGTAATTATTTTATTGTTATTTTTATTTAATTATAATTTTTTTATTTTTTATTAAATTTTTTATTTGATGTGACAAAAAATCAACGTCACACTAAATTATCCGTTAATTGTTTAATGTCATTTAAAGTCGATTAGTTTTTTTTGTCAAAAATTTATAAACTTAATAGTTTTTTTTTATCAACATCGATGAATTTATATTTATTTTGAGAATTCGAAAAATTCATTCATATGATTCTTAAAGTCCAATATTTTTTAATATTTTTTCTAATAATAATAATAATAATAATAATAATAATAATAATAATAATAGTACCAACAACAACAACAACAACAACAACAACAACAACAATAATAATAATAATAATAATAATAATAATAATAATAGACTATGTTATCGCCAGCTATTCGAAATTTTTTGCATTAAATATAGATGGAACATATTCTATCGTACAATAACAATAAACTGGCGTGGAATAATCAAATACGTTACTATTGTTAATTGTAATTCAAAAAATAATAATAATTTATTGCTGTCGTTATATACACGATATGCTTGATGAAAACAAGACGACCCATGTTGTCTCCCACGTTGACTTGGAAAACTAAACTAGCCTCGTCATACTATTTTCTTATATATATATATATATATATATATATAATATCATATACATGTATATAGTGTTATTAATCTATCGTTAGTAAAGATATAACATAACTATTGTTTATACATCGAGTCTTGCATGTGTATACCATGTTTTATTGGGTTAATTGAGTTTTATATATGAATTAACCCAACCCATATATATAAAATTTTACCCAATCCATCAAATTGTATAATCCAAATGAATTGGTTCCAAATGGATCGTTTAACCCATTTTGACATCTATAGTGTAGATCGCTAAACCTTTATTAGAACCAGTGTGTCATTGTTTCCTTCCTCGATGACCGGATATCCGATTAGAAGAACTAAATAGGGGCATTCATATGATATTATAAGGTATCATATGAATGATATGAAAAAAGGAATATAAAATTATATTAGAGCTTTTTACATAAATTTAATTTATTTATAAAAAAAGTCAGCTCGTTGAGTATCTTGTCAGCTCGCCGAGCCAGGATCATTGAACGCGTGTTCAATAACTCTAGCTCGTTAGGCTCGTTTTTTTAATGAGTTGAAAAAATCACAGCTCAGATCGCTCGTTTTCTTGCGAGCCACGAGCCAACTCGCGAGATGGGTTCGTTTTGACATCTCTATCAAAAATGAATTCTCTTTGTTATTTTCACTTCAAAACATATCATTCTCTAATTGTGATCCATGTGCCCAGAAATATAATTTTGATCACATTGATCATAACGTTAAATTTATGGTGATCACATTCATTCATTATGTTAATGTTCCTTGTATATCTCACTAATCATTTGATAAAAACATAATAAATTTAACATTATGATATCAAGATTATATTTTTTATCACATGAGTTACAAGATTACATATGGAGAAGTATATGTCTTGAAGTCAAAATATTAAAGGAAAAATATTTTTTATACAATACCAACTAAATATACGAAATCATAACCCCAATGTATAATATCTTATTTAACTAATATAATTATCTAAAATATTTAAATAAATTCAAATCTAAATATTATAATAATAAAATATTATTTTCTTAATATCTTGGAAAATATTCTTCACATTTCTTAATAACTATTTATTTTTCACTGCAATGTCTTTTTGTTTCTCTTATACAACACATTAATTATGATCAATTGTTTTTAAACTTCAAGCCATAAATTAATTATATGATCATTTTTTTTTAAACTTCAAGCCATAAACTTTTACGTGGAAAACACTATAAAAGAGAAACATTTATTTTCCAACTATCAAACATAGAAAATCGAATAGAAATTAATCGCACTCAAACCCAATCAAATGGAGATTTATATTTGGGTTTGTGATATATATATGCCCTCAGTTTCTAAATAAATGTAGTTTTAGATTTTTCACAATTTTCAAAAGAAATATAAAAAACACCCTCAGTCATATAAAATTGAATTTTTTTTAAAAAAAATCACCTAAAAAATCAAAAACGATATTTATTTAATAACAAAAAATATTCTAAACAATATATATTTAGAAACGGAGTGAATATTTAGATTCCGTAATTTCCAACCTCAATTGATTTAGATTTACTTATTTTAACTGTTGTTATATTTACTATATATTTAGTTTACATTTTCTTATTTATATTGAACAATTAGGGAGTTTTACGATAATATTTTATCAAACATAACTGATACACATATACAGATACATATAATATAGAGACAATGAAGAGGGTATGTCTGGTCGGAACCCTAGTTCTTGTCTCTGCCATTTGTGTCGTAGTCATGACTTCGCCGGTGCTGGCCAGATATCCACCGTCTCCTCTGCCGGAAATGTCGCCGGAAAAACTGTTCGAAGGCTCGTTCTTGAAGTTGCCTTTGCCTCGGAAGAATCATCCACGTCCTCCGGTGACGTCATCTCCCCCTGGTCAAATAAATTCTCTCGACCCTTATTCACTTCATCTCTAAAAAAGACACATGGAGGAGCAATTTTTGATATTATTCTTATTTTTTGTAATATGAAACATATAATAAAATACATATTTCGTTTATTTTTGTTCTGTGGTTAATGTAATTGTTATCGTTACATGGCCAAAAAACAATTTCCATGAAATTGCAGTGAACTAGTGATAACGAACACAAGTACAGTATCTTTGAGATTTGTCATCATCAAATTTGTTCTTTTATTTTTTTTATAAAGATCATCAAATTTGTTCTTGTTTGCCACATGGCATCTCACGTGTTTCTGTATATATAATTGTGAAAATATAACATTCCGTATGCTATATAATTTGTTAAGCTAACTGTGTTTATTATAAATTCGGTATAAATGCATGTTTTGGTTATATATATATATATATATAATGATTTAAGATTGAAGAGGGTGCGTTGTTAACAGAGGGTCTCCTTTCAAATTCGAGTTCGCCAATGTTGGAATTTAATTTTATATGGATCTCTTGGTAAATGGTTTTTATAGCCACGTGGATTTTTGACACATCTAATTTGAAATATAATCAACCCACAGGTGTGTGTGTATATATATATATATGTTCAATTGAAAAAAAAATATTTTGGTTCGAATATATAAAAATGAAACGGACGGAACGATATTTGTATCCGAACAACATTCAAACAAAATTCATCTAAAAAGTATCATTTTTTTGTTAATGGTAAATCTTATAAATATGAATGTTTTTACAATACGGAATACTCGGGGTAACGTCCCTAAGTACATACGTCAAAGTTTATAGAACCAAGTCTAAATAAAAATATCATTTTTCTAAATCAAAGTATTCGAGTTTTAAATTCAGTTTTATTTTAATGCATATCGCGATCAAAATATATATTCTTTTTTTTTTGTAATCATTGGACTCGAAATATATATTCTTGTCAAGAATATCCATGTATCTATGTGTTTGGTTATGCAAGTAATTTGGCACTAATTACCGGAGCAGGCTCAGTATTTCCTATATACGAGTACTATACATACACACACAAATATATATATATATATATATATATATATATATATAATACAAATATAAAATGCATATTAAAGAGATGTATAGTCTCGAAATTACCTCGCCCTTTTTTATTGGCTTCATATCTAAAAGAGATGTATAGTCTCGAAATTTGAGAAAAAGGAACAAATTTTGTTATTATTGATCTTTTATAATATGAAAATTATGATAAAATAAACATTTCATCTATTTTTGTTTCGTTGCATGTAATTATTATGATAAAATAACTAAAAATTATCTCATCAAATTGCAACGAGACAGTCAACAAATTTAACACATGAAACGGAGACGTAAATCATCTATCATATTTTGAGTTTGAGTCACAAGTTAGAGAGAGAAGCGTAATTCCAATCAAATAGTTTCCTAATGATCCCTAGATTAGTTTGGCTCTTAACTTAAAACACGGTTAAAAAAACAATTATCGTGTATATATATATATATATTTGTCAAAATATAAAATTTGATACTATATATTTAGTTAGATTAACAATTTTTTTATTACAATTTCAGTATCAATGAATGTTTTGGTCATATATATTTCACAATGAATTAAAGTTGAAGAGGACGCAGTTTACAGAAGATTTCCTTTCAAACTTTGAGTTCGCCAATGTTGGAATTTATTTAATTTTATATTGATTTCTTGGTATGTCGTTTTTTGTATCAAATTAGATTGACTACAATAAGTTACAAGTCAACAAGTAAATGTAGGCGCATGGATTTTTTTTTTGAAATAATATATATTTGTATCCGAACAATATCAGCAAAAAAATATATTGGATCAAAGTAATCGAATTTTAATTCAATATAAAAATAATTAAAAAATCATATACACAGATATCTTTAAAAATTATGCATTTTTTTTTAATAAAAATCGAATCAAAATCCGGCATAAAATTTGAATACATATACTTTTGTTTTTTCAAAAATAGAATATTCCGAATAAAAACCAATAGAGCTAAAATGGAACAAAAATTCAAAAGTTACAGTAAACCTATTCAATAGTATTGAAAATGGTTATATAGAATAAAATTGAAAATGGTGACATATGAGATTTTAAAATACCATGTAAATGAGTAATGAAAATACAAGACTCTAATTTGGGGGGAAAAAATCATTTTAGTTTCCTATTCAAACAACATATTTTTAATACGCAAAAGCAATAACGAACTAATGGCTATGCTCTATATAAACCTTAATCCATAGAACAGAAGAGTCATCGAAAAAAAAAATCCAAAACCCAAAGCAATGAACAAGTTCTCTTTTTATGCAACCTTGGCTCTTGTCCTTGCGGTATTTGTCGGACCCTTAACCGCTTTGGCTCGATCGGTGCAATCTCAGCCGTTGGATCTATCATATTCGTCATTCGGAGATCTAGCAAAGAATGTTCCAGTACTTCTATCAAGTCCCGACAAGCGCGGGAACCACGGCTCTCCGACCCCTTCTCCTGACGTGAGATCTCAGCCGTTGGATGTATCGTATTCATCATCTGGAGAACTACTGAAGAATGTTCCAGTGCCTCCATCAGGTCCCGGCAAGCGCGCGTGCGATCTCAGCCGTTGGATCTATCGTATTCGTCATTCGGAGAACTACTGAAGAATGTTCCAGTGCCTCCATCAGGTCCCGGCAAGCGCGGAAACCACGGCTCTCCGACCCCTTCTCCTGACGTGAGATCTCAGCAGATGGATCTATCGTATTCGTCATTCGGAGAACTAGCAAAGAATGTTCCAGTGCCTCCATCAGCTCCTGGAGAATATCAAAATGATGAAAATGGTCTTCAGAACGCAGAAGACAATGAGATTTCCATCAACTACATCCATAATGGAAAGATGTTGGTAAGAAATGAGATAGACGACAGTGATGGAATATTC